TTTTGATGTAAACTCTAATTTTTGAAATCCCCCTTGCGCGCCACTGGCTTAAAAAATAAAATGCATTTTATTCAACTGCAGCTTCAATCAACTTTTATTTGATACCACACAAGCCATTTTTTGATGTAAACTCTAATTTTTAAAATCCTCCTTGTGCGCCACTGGCTTAAAAAAATAAAATAAATTTTATTTAACTTCAGGTTCAATCAACTTTCATTTGATACCACACAAGCCATTTTTTGATGTAAACTCTAATTTTTGAAATCCCCCTTGTGCGCCACTGGCTTAAAAAATAAAATGCATTTTATTCAACTCCAGACTCAATTACCTTTCATTTGATACCACACAAGCCATGTTTTCATGTAAACTCTAATTTTTGAAATCCCCCTTGTGCGCCACTGGCTTAAAAAATAAAATGCATTTTATTCAACTCCAGACTCAATTACCTTTCATTTGATACCACACAAGCCATTTTTTAATGTAAACTCTAATTTTTGAAATCCCCCTTGTGCGCCACTGGCTTAAAAAATAAAATGCATTTTATTCAACTCCAGACTCAATTACCTTTCATTTGATACCACACAAGCCATTTTTTAATGTAAACTCTAATTTTTGAAATCCCCCTTGTGCGCCACTGGCTTAAAAAATAAAATGCATTTTATTCAACTCCAGACTCAATTACCTTTCATTTGATACCACACAAGCCATTTTTTAATGTAAACTCCAATTTTTGAAATCCCCCTTGTGCGCCACTGGCTTAAAAAAATAAAATAAATTTTATTCAACTGTAGGTTTAATCAATTTTCATTTGATACCACACAAGCCATTTTTTGATGTAAACTCTAATTTTTGAAATCCCCCTTGTGCGCCACTGGCTTAAAAAATAAAATGCATTTTATTCAACTCCAGACTCAATTACCTTTCATTTGATACCACACAAGCCATTTTTTAATGTAAACTCTAATTTTTGAAATCCCCCTTGTGCGCCACTGGCTTAAAAAATAAAATGCATTTTATTCAACTCCAGACTCAATTACCTTTCATTTGATACCACACAAGCCATTTTTTGATGTAAACTCTAATTTTTGAAATCCCCCTTGTGCGCCACTGGCTTAAAAAATAAAATGCATTTTATTCAACTCCAGACTCAATTACCTTTCATTTGATACCACACAAGCCATTTTTTAATGTAAACTCTAATTTTTGAAATCCTCTTTGTGCGCCACTGGCTTAAAAAAATAAAATAAATTTTATTCAACTGTAGGTTTAATCAATTTTCATTTGATACCACACAAGCCATTTTTTGATGTAAACTCTAATTTTTGAAATCCCCCTTGTGCGCCACTGGCTTAAAAAATAAAATGCATTTTATTCAACTCCAGACTCAATTACCTTTCATTTGATACCACACAAGCCATTTTTTAATGTAAACTCTAATTTTTGAAATCCTCTTTGTGCGCCACTGGCTTAAAAAAATAAAATAAATTTTATTCTACTGTAGGTTTAATCAATTTTCATTTGATACCACACAAGCCATTTTTTGATGTAAACTCTAATTTTTGAAATCCCCCTTGTGCGCCACTGGCTTAAAAAATAAAATGAATTTTATTCAACTGCAGCTTCAATCAACTTTTATTTGATACCACACAAGCCATTTTTTGATGTAAACTCTAATTTTTGAAATCCACCTTGTGTGCCACTGGCTTAAAAAATAAAATGAATTTTATTCAACTGCAGCTTCAATCAACTTTCATTTTATATCACACAAGCCATTTTTTGATGTAAACTCTAATTTTTGAAATCCCCCTTGTGCGCCACTGGCTTAAAAAATAAAATGCATTTTATTCAACTCCAGACTCAATTACCTTTCATTTGATACCACACAAGCCATTTTTTGATGTAAACTCTAATTTTTGAAATCCCCCTTGTGCGCCACTGGCTTAAAAATAAAATGCATTTTATTCAACTCCAGACTCAATTACCTTTCATTTGATACCACACAAGCCATTTTTTAATGTAAACTCTAATTTTTGAAATCCTCTTTGTGCGCCACTGGCTTAAAAAAAATAAAATAAATTTTATTCAACTGTAGGTTTAATCAATTTTCATTTGATACCACACAAGCCATTTTTTGATGTAAACTCTAATTTTTGAAATCCCCCTTGTGCGCCACTGGCTTAAAAAATAAAATGCATTTTATTCAACTCCAGACTCAATTACCTTTCATTTGATACCACACAAGCCATTTTTTAATGTAAACTCTAATTTTTGAAATCCTCTTTGTGCGCCACTGGCTTAAAAAAATAAAATAAATTTTATTCTACTGTAGGTTTAATCAATTTTCATTTGATACCACACAAGCCATTTTTTGATGTAAACTCTAATTTTTGAAATCCCCCTTGTGCGCCACTGGCTTAAAAAATAAAATGCATTTTATTCAACTCCAGACTCAATTACCTTTCATTTGATACCACACAAGCCATGTTTTGATGTAAACTCTAATTTTTTAAATCCCCCTCCCTTGTACGCCACTGGCTTAAAAAAATAAAATGCATTTTATTCAACTGCAGCTTCAATCAACTTTTATTTGATACCACACAAGCCATTTTTTGATGTAAACTCTAATTTTTGAAATCCACCTTGTGTGCCACTGGCTTAAAAAATAAAATGAATTTTATTCAACTGCAGCTTCAATCAACTTTCATTTTATATCACACAAGCCATTTTTTGATGTAAACTCTAATTTTTGAAATCCCCCTTGTGCGCCACTGGCTTAAAAAATAAAATGCATTTTATTCAACTGCAGCTTCAATCAACTTTTATTTGATACCACACAAACCATTTTTTGATGTAAACTCTAATTTTTGAAATCCCCCTTGTGCGCCACTGGCTTAAAAAATAAAATGCATTTTATTCAACTCCAGACTCAATCAACTTTCATTTGATACCACACAAGCCATTTTTTGATGTAAACTCTAATTTTTGAAATCCCCCTTGTGCGCCACTGGCTTAAAAAAATAAAATAAATTTTATTCAACTGCAGGTTCAATCAACTTTCATTTGATACCACACAAGCCATTTTTTAATGTAAACTCTAATTTTTTAAATCCCCCCTTCCCTTGTGCGCCACTGACTTAAAAAAATTAAATGCATTTTATTCAACTGCAGCTTCAATCAACTTTTATTTGATACCACACAAGCTATTTTTTGATGTAAACTCTAATTTTTTAAATCCCCCTTGTGCGCCAGTGGCTTAAAAAATAAAATGCATTTTATTCAACTGCAGGTTCAATCAACTTTCATTTGATACCACACAAGCCATTTTTTGATGTAAACTCTAATTTTTTAAATCCCCCCTCCCTTGTGCGCCACTGGCTTAAAAAAATAAAATGCATTTTATTCAACTGCAGCTTCAATCAACTTTTATTTGATACCACACAAGCCATTTTTTTATGTAAACTCTAATTTTTTAAATCCCCCTTGTGCGCCACTGGCTTAAAAAAATAAAATAAATTTTATTCAACTGAAGGTTCAATCAACTTTCATTTGATACCACACAAGCCATTTTTTGATGTTAACTCTAATTTTTTAAATCCCCCCTCCCTTGTGCGCCACTGGCTTAAAAAAATAAAATGCATTTTATTCAACTCCAGACTCAATTACCTTTCATTTGATACCACACAAGCCATTTTTTAATGTAAACTCTAATTTTTGAAATCCTCTTTGTGCGCCACTGGCTTAAAAAAATAAAATAAATTTTATTCAACTGTAGGTTTAATCAATTTTCATTTGATACCACACAAGCCATTTTTTGATGTAAACTCTAATTTTTGAAATCCCCCTTGTGCGCCACTGGCTTAAAAAAATAAAATAAATTTTATTCAACTGCAGGTTCAATCAACTTTCATTTGATACCACACAAGCCATTTTTTAATGTAAACTCTAATTTTTGAAATCACCCTTGTGCGCCACTGGCTTAAAAAAATAAAATAAATTTTATTCAATTGCAGGTTCAATCAACTTTCATTTGATTCCACACAAGCCATTTTTTAATGTAAACTCTAATTTTTGAAATCCTCCTTGTGCGCCACTGGCTTAAAAAATAAAATGCATTTTATTCAACTGCAGCTTCAATCAACTTTTATTTGATACCACACAAGCCATTTTTTGATGTAAACTCTAATTTTTGAAATCACCCTTGTGCGCCACTGGCTTAAAAAATAAAATGCATTTTATTCAACTCCAGACTCAATTACATTTCATTTGATACCACACAAGCCATGTTTTGATCAAAACTCTAATTTTTGAAATCTACCCCCCACCCTTTTTTTGGGCTTATGTCTGATGGATATTTTTAGTTTTTAAAAATGAAAACAAAAATTAAAAAACTTCTCAATTTTTAAAAGGCGGTGGTTGAGTGGTTTTGTCATGTTGAATTGAATTCAACTAGATTTTGCATTAATGTTTAAATATATATTATTTGAATTATGTGCTTACAAATAAAAATGATAAATTCCGCCTACCGCCTCTTAATCTTGTCAACTATCAGTCAAATCTTGCAACGCGTTTTTTAGAAAATTCCCGTGAATCGATTACAATGAAATTTGGTATACTTACAAGAGTCCGATAACAATGCAATATTATGAAAAATAATTTATTGATATGATATCAGAATGATAAAAAAATATTCTTTACTTTTTAGTGCATTTTATAAAAGCCTCTTATTTAATTTTTTTATCAGTTTATTTTCATTTTCCATGATTGGCGCCTCTAGATTATTGCGCTCCGGACAAAAAAAAATTAAAAATTCTTTTTGAAGCACCTTAAAAACAGAAAAAAAGTTCAATGAAACTTTTCCAAATTTTTACCTTCTTGTTTCTTGCTTTTTACATACAGAAACGTCATTACACTTTCTAGAAAATTAAAGAATAGTTACCAGATTGTTCTTGTAAATGTTAAATAGAATTTTACAGACATAAACGAATAATAATTACCACATATAATATAAAATAATTTTATTTATTAAAAATAATATAATACATAATTTAAATAATTTTTTACACATTATAACCGGTTACAAAAATTCAGCAGTTAAAAACTATAAAATACAAAAATTATAAATTAAAATTTTTTTTTCACACACAAGTATCGACATGCAATCAAATATTTATTCTTGTATTATCACTGTCACGAAAGGATGAACCAATATATACCAAATATCGTTTTAAAAATGTAATTGCATAGTGTAAATATGAGCAAATATCTGACAGACGTATTCAGCATGGAAAACCTGAAACAATAGAGAAAGGATTAAGTTGGGGTTAAATTTTTATTTTCATATTTAAAGGGGTTCTGAGATAAATGAATAGAAACACAAAAATTTTACAATTGTTATTATTGTTAATGCAAATTTACAACGTTCCAAGATTAATGCAAACATTGTAAATTGTCAATGACTAATGGTGGAGACTTGGGACTGGTCTCTTGCTGTCGTTTTTAAATTTAGTTAACTTTTCATGTTTCTTCTAAAGTTTTTGACGAGTAAGTGTACAAGTTTTTGTTTTTATTCAATTTTTAGTAATGTTAGAGTAGATTATATTGTTACAGCTCCGTTTTTCTCTTTTATAGAGCTCTGATGATGGCTTAAGAGACCGAAAGCGCTCAGAAAATTTTTTATTAAATATAACTTCAATTTTACACATTTTAAATACTTTTTCGATTCGAAAGTCAGACCGGGCCCCAGGACAATTATCCAGATTGGCCCCCGCGACAATTTGATAAAAAATTAAATAATAAAAGGTCTTCAAGCAAAAAATTCTCCTCCTCTACTTGAATCTCGTTAGAAAACAATTTCTCTCCCTCGTCTGCCGGACCCCCCCCCTTATACCGCTGCCGGGCCCCCATTTGAGCCCTTATCCCGGGAATTAGTCCCGGCTGCCCCCCCTCTAGTCGGATCTGAGAGGAACAGAAAAATTGTAAGCAAAATGGACTTTTCAACCTTATATTTTTGACTGTTTTACAACCAGTCCCTTTGGGCAGTATTAACTCATTCATTCTAATACATTTTTTGGTCCTTCTAGCCGGATGTTTATTTGTACTTAGTCAATTTAATCCAGAATCTTATGAAACAAATTTCTTAGCAGTGAGTTAAGAAATTCTACGATAAGAAAATGATGCTAATCATTACACATTTTAAATAGTGGCTTTCGAACGATATCAATCCACATAGCAGTCTTAATAACGCTTATTTGAATGTCACCATATGTATTAAGCATTAACCTAAGTCCACCATCATTTACTTAGGAGTCTTTCTTTGTAGCCGTTATAACTACAGTCAAATACCACTATTGTTGGCTGTCATCCAGAGAAGGCATCCAGATACAACCCTAGACCAAGCCCAAGGAGACTTGGTACAAGAAACTGTTGTGGAAAGGCTATACGCTGTTCCTTCAGGCAGTGGAGGAGCACCACAGTTCCTTAGAACATCGTTTAGCGCAGGGGTCATTTGGATGGTTAAGGAGGATGGTCGGCACTCTAGGAAACCTTTGGGAGGGCGCGGAGTTGACCGTGGTTGGATCTAAGGACCACCCGAAAAGACCCAGGGTTCTGGTTTTCATCTCAGACGAGTTCGAGGTTGAAAAAGTCAGGAGACTTCTTCAGCTCCAGAATACGGAACTGAAGACGCCGGATTGGCTTTTAATGAGCAGGAAAATTGAAAAGGGAGGGCAACTCCTAGTCTTTTCAATTGACGAAGCGTCGTATGGGGGGGCCCTCGAGAGGTCACAATTCCGGGCCTATTGTAAACTAGTACGGGTGACCTTCAAGGTCCTAAGGTGAGGATCACAATAATCCAGATCAACCTTCAGCACTGTAAGGCTGTGTCCTGAGATCTAAGTCTACACCTTAGCCTCAATCTGGTACTTTAGAGGAAGAGCCAGAAGATTTTGAGACGAAAAACGACAGTAGTGACAGTGACTTTGATAACGACCTGGAAACACCAAAACAATTCAGTCAAGATAATTTAAACGACACAATTAAAGATCTGGGACTGTCAAAGTCAGCTTCAGAAATTTTGGCTTCAAGGCTAAAAGATGCTAGATGGATAGAAGTCTTCAAAATAGTGCTGATTGAAGAAGTTAGTCTTCAAGCGACCATTATCAATCCAGAGGACGACGAAGATGAAACCACGCTTAAAAAAGACTCAAAAAAAAGACAAGTTGTCTAAGAATGGGTCAAAAAATAACCAGATATAATTGAACTATTAAAAGATACTAGACTTAGTGAATAATTTGTTTTTATACTCACCATTGGTGCTTCTTTCTGGCAGCTTCCAAAGTACTATCAGGATCATTTAAAAGATACTTTCTTACACCTTTTAAGTACTTTCTGAAATAGATCAACCAGTGGACGGTGGTCATACTAAAGGGGAAAACATCCTTATCCTTCTGATCCAGTTTTTCCCACAAATTTCTCATGTTTTTTGTTTGAAAAAATCCAACTCCTAGTCGAAAAGTAAGAAAGGATTATGGAAAATTTGTGAACTTTTTTGTAGATCTTCAGCATCCTAAAACAAATTTATGATTTCGTTAAAAGCTAATTAAATTAAAATTACAGTGACGTAGTGTATAGGGGGCTAGGAGGACGGCGCTTTCCCCTCTTCCTCCTTTGCTTATTGCGTTTAGAGCATAGAGGTTTAGGTAGGTAAAAGATTCTTCGAGTATTGCTGGTAATAATGTTACATTTATATATATCCTCCAGAGGATGTAAATATCATAAAAAAAACACGGGTTGCACTCCGGGAGTGCCGGCAGAAGTGAAAACTTCAATATTAACGTTGTGCATTTTTGATTTTTTTGGAATAGTTAGAGAATAATTTTAAACGAATGCCTATTATTATTCCAATTTATTCCAATTTATTCCAATTTATTCCAATTTATTCCAATTTATTCCAATTTATTCCAATTTATTCCAATTTATTCCAATTTATTCCAATTTATTCCAATTTATTCCAATTTATTCCAATTTTATATCAATTTATTCCAATTTATTCCAATTTATTCCAATTTATTCCAATTTATTCCAATTTATTCCAATTTATTCCAATTTATTCCAATTTATTCCAATTTATTCCAATTTATTCCAATTTATTCCAATTTATTCCAATTTATTCCAATTTATTCCAATTTATTCCAATTTATTCCAATTTATTCCAATTTATTCCAATCTATTCCAATTTATTCCAATTTATTCCAATTTATTCCAATGTATTCCAATTTATTCCAATTTACTCCAATTTATTCCAATTTATTCCAATTTATTCCAATTTATTCCTATTTATTTCAATTTATTCCAATTTATTCCACTTTACTCCACTTTACTCCAATTTATTCCAATTTATTCCAATTTATTCCAATTTATTCCAATTTATTCCAATTTATTCCAATTTATTCCAATTTATTCCAATTTATTCCAATTTATTCCAATTTATTCCAATTTATTCCAATTTATTCCAATTTATTCCAATTTATTCCAATTTATTCCAATTTATTCCAATTTATTCCAATTTATTCCAATTTATTCCGATTTATTCCGATTTATTCCGATTTATTCCGATTTATTCCGATTTATTCCAATTTATTCCAATTTATTCCAATTTATTCCAATTTATTCCAATTTATTCCAATTTATTCCAATTTATTCCAATTTATTCCAATTTATTCCAATTTATTCCAATTTATTCCAATTTATTCCAATTTATTCCAATTTATTCCAATTTATTCCAATTTATTCCGATTTATTCCCGATTTATCCCGATTTATTCCAATTTATTCCAATTTATTCCAATTTATTCCAATTTATTCCAATTTATTCCAATTTATTCCAATTTATTCCAATTTATTCCAATTTATTCCAATTTATTCCAATTTATTCCAATTTATTCCAATTTATTCCAATTTATTCCAATTTATTCCAGTGTATTCCAATTCCAATTTATTCCAATTTATTCCAATTTATTCCAATTTATTCCAATTTATTCCAATTTATTCCAATTTATTCCAATTTATTCCAATTTATTCCAATTTATTCCAATTTATTCCAATTTATCCAATTTATTCCAATTTATTCCAATTTATTCCAATTTATTCCAATTTATTCCAATTTATTCCAATTTATTCCAATTTATTCCAATTTATTCCAATTTATTCCAATTTATTCCAATTTATTCCAATTTATTCCAATTTATTCCAATTTATTCCAATTTATTCCAATTTATTCCAATTTATTCCAATTTATTCCAATTTATTCCAATTTATTCCAATTTATTCCAATTTATTCCAATTTATTCCAATTTATTCCAATTTATTCCAATTTATTCCAATTTATTCCAATTTATTCCAATTTATTCCAATTTATTCCAATTTATTCCAATTTATTCCAATTTATTCCAATTTATTCCAATTTATTCCAATTTATTCCAATTTATTCCAATTTATTCCAATTTATTCCAATTTATTCCAATTTATTCCAATTTATTCCAATTTATTCCAATTTATTCCAATTTATTCCAATTTATTCCAATTTATTCCAATTTATTCCAATTTATTCCAATTTATTCCAATTTATTCCAATTTATTCCAATTTATTCCAATTTATTCCAATTTATTCCAATTTATTCCAATTTATTCCAATTTATTCCAATTTATTCCAATTTATTCCAATTTATTCCAATTTATTCCAATTTATTCCAATTTATTCCAATTTATTCCAATTTATTCCAGTGTATTCCAATTCCAATTTATTCCAATTTATTCCAATTTATTCCAATTTATTCCAATTTATTCCAATTTATTCCAATTTATTCCAATTTATTCCAATTTATTCCAATTTATTCCAATTTATTCCAATTTATTCCAATTTATTCCAATTTATTTCAATTTTATCCAATTTATCCAATTTATTCCAATTTATTCCAATTTATTCCAATTTATTCCAATTTATTCCAATTTATTCCAATTTATTCCAATTTATTCCAATTTATTCCAATTTATTCCAATTTATTCCAATTTATTCCAATTTATTCCAATTTATTCCAATTTATTCCAATTTATTCAATTTATTCCAATTTATTCCAATTTATTCCAATTTATTCCAATTTATTCCAATTTATTCCAATTTATTCCAATTTATTCCAATTTATTCCAATTTATTCCAATTTATTCCAATTTATTCCAATTTATTCCAATTTATTCCAATTTATTCCAATTTATTCCAATTTATTCCAATTTATTCCAATTTATTCCAATTTATTCCAATTTATTCCAATTTATTCCAATTTATTCCAATTTATTCCAATTTATTCCAATTTATTCCAATTTATTCTGACTTGTCGTACCTACTTCTAGATGACTAGATTATAATTATTATTTTTGTAACATTATTTTAATATTAATAAACTTTATACGTAAAATAAACATTTAATGCATCCTTTTGCATTTCCATTTCCTCTCTACTCTCCGATACAAGAAGCTTAAGATTTTGTAATGAAGTTTGAATGAACATAATACTAAATTGTTAGACGCGGGCATGACGCTACAACCACTCACCAAACAATATTTTATTAATTTTGGTCACTTAAAACTAAAAAATCTCACCTTGGTTTATTTCCTGTGATTAAAGTAAAGCAGTCAATGATTAGACCTGGTAAAGTATGAAGAAAAATCGTTAGGAACCAATAAACATATAAATTGCTAGTAAAAATGACGCAAACTTCCCAAATAGAATTTATTGAAGGATATTCTCTTCCATGAATGAAATTTAGCTCTATAGATTCTTTCCAAGTTATTGGGTTTTCTGGAGTCGATACATAGTTATAAACTGATACTTCTGATGACCTATAAGAAAAGAAGAATGTAAATTTGTGATACTCACACCTAGATAGCAGAAAGTCATCTTAAATACGACTTTAAGACATTGAGAAGAAACCAAGACGTCTTTTAGACAGATAGTACAGAAAGAACCATTAGTGAATATTAGCAACAGTCTTCACGACTTAATTAACACCAACGTGGGATTTAGAGAAATAAAATAATGTTATGATAGATAGAAAAGATCTCTTTTCAATCCTTATTACTTACATTTCACATTTTTTTGAAGATACATCCCAAGCAGCAGCTATTAAACCTGATACACACATATCCACTGGTACTATATCTGCTACTTTCTCTTCAGAACAAAAGGACACTCTCAAGACACCAGAAAGGGCTCCAGCACATACTCCTGTTGGACCGTATAAGTTGTCAATCCAGCCTTCTATAGGTTCCCTATAGGTAGATATAACTAAAAATTAAAATAAAAAAAAGTGTTACTATAAATAGATATGGGTAAGATATGTAGGGCTTCTTTTTTCACCTCTTCTTTCACCGCTGTTGTCCTACATGATTATTACACCCTGTAGTATGCGTGACTCAAATAGATCAGTACAAAAAACTTCCAAGATAAAACAATTTTTATATAACCAACTGCGGTATGCGAGTGATTCAAAAAAAAACTTTATAGAATCTTTAGATTTTGCTAGTTATCTAATTTTTCGCATTAATATTAGGCTAAAATTAGTTCTGAACCTGTCTACGGATTTTTTAAGCTTTATGTACTAATTATTGAGAGTCAAAAAAGTACCAGGAATTGTGAAATAATAGTAATTATATAAAATTAAAAAAAAAACTTTGTGGAATCTTTAGATTTAGCCAGTTATGACAATTTTCTGCATTAATATCAGGCTAAAATTAGTTCTGAACCTGTCTACGGATTTTTTAGGCTTTATGTACTAATTATTGAGAGTCAAAAAAGTACCAGGAATTGTGAAATAATAGTAATTATATAAAATTAAAAAAAAACTTTGTGGAATCTTTAGATTTAGCCAGTTATGACAATTTTCTGCATTAATATCAGGCTAAAATTAGTTCTGAACCTGTCTACGGATTTTTTTAGGCTTTATGTACTAATTATTGAGAGTCAAAAAAGTACCAGGAATTGTGAAATAATAGTAATTATATAAAATTAAAAAAAAACTTTGTGGAATCTTTAGATTTAGCCAGTTATGACAATTTTCTGCATTAATATCAGGCTAAAATTAGTTCTGAACCTGTCTACGGATTTTTTAGGCTTTATGTACTAATTATTGAGAGTCAAAAAAGTACCAGGAATTGTGAAATAATAGTAATTATATTAAATTAAAAAAAAAACTTTGTGGAATCTTCAGATTTTGTCAGTTATGACAATTTTCTGCATTAATATCAGGCTAAAATTAGTTCTGAACCTGTCTACGGATTTTTAGGCTTTATGTACTAATTATTGAGAGTCAAAAAAGTACCAGGAATTGTGAAATAATAGTAATTATATAAAATTTAAAAAAAACTTTGTGGAATCTTTAGATTTAGCCAGTTATGACAATTTTCTGCATTAATATCAGGCTAAAATTAGTCCTGAACCTGTCTACGGATTTTTTAGGCTTTATGTACTAATTATTGAGAGTCAAAAAAGTACCAGGAATTGTGAAATTATAGTAATTATATAAAATTAAAAAAAACTTTGTGGAATCTTCAGAATTTGCCAGTTATGACAATTTTCTGCATTATCAGACTAAAATTAGTTCTGAACCTATCTATGGATTTTTTAGGCTTTATGTACTAATTATTGAGAGTCAAAAAAGTACTAGAAATTGTGAAATAATAGTAATTATATTAACTTAAAAAAAACTTTGTGGAATCTTTAGATTTTGTCAGTTATGACAATTTTCTGCATTAATATCAGGCTAAAATTAGTTCTGAACATGTCCACGGATATTTTAGGCTTTTTGTGATGATTATTAAGAGCCAACCAGTACCATAAATTGTGAAATAATAGTAATTATATTAATTAAAAAAAAACTTTGTGGAATCTTCAGATTTTGCCAGTTATGACAATTTTCTGCATTAATATCAGGCTAAAATTAGTTCTGAACCTGTCTACGGATTTTTTAGGCTTTATGTACTAATTATTGAGAGTCAAAAAAGTACTAGAAATTGTGAAATAATAGTAATTATATTACTTACAAAAAAAACTTTGTGGAAACCTCAGATTTTGTCAGTTATGATAATTTTCTGCATTAATATCAGACTAAAATTAGTTCTGAACCTGTCTACGGATTTTTTAGGCTTTATGTACTAATTATTGAGAGTCAAAAAAGTACTAGAAATTGTGAAATAATAGTAATTATATTAACTTAAAAAAAACTTTGTGGAATCTTCAGATTTTGCTTATGACAATTTTCTGCATTAATATCAGGCTAAAATTAGTTCTGAACATGTCCACGGATATTTTAGGCTTTATGTGATAATTATTAAGAGCCAACCAGTACCAGAAATTGTGAAATAATAGTAATTATGTTAATTAAAAAAAAAACTTTGTGGAATCTTCAGATTTTGTCATTTATAAAAACTTTGTCTATAAATTCAGTAGTAATTGGTTCTGAACCCTTCTACTAAGGCTTTTTGTATTAATTAATGTACACAGAACAGTATCAGAAACACTAGTAGTTATATTGATATAAAAAACTTTGTAGAATCTTTAGATATTGCCAGTTATAAAAACTTTGTGTATCGGTATTAGATAATGATTAGTTATGAACTGTTCTACGGATTTTCTAAGGCTTTGGGTATTATTTATTGAACAATACCGGTAATGGTGGAACAATAGAGGTTATATTAATATAAAAAACTTTGTAGAATCTTTAGATAATGTCAGTTATCAAAACATTGCTTTTAATCGCATATTAGTTATCTTTTCAATGCTAGTTTTGATTTTTTTTATGGTACTCATCAACACTAACTCTCTTTGCGGTTATAGCAATTATTAATTAAGTTTTTGTTAAGACAGAAAAATATATATTATTACTTTATATTACAAAAAATATCATAATTTATATTCAAATATGCTTTACCTATTGATGGTCTAAATATTGCTACGGGTAATCCCCCTCCAAGATCTTTTATCATAGATTCAGCAAGGAATTTTGTGAAAGTGTATGTGTTCGGCCATTTTCCAATAATTCTAAAATTAAAATTAGAAAAAAATGTATCAGTTTATTGTAATTTTAATTATCTATACTAATATTTTCATTGCTACTTGTAAAATGTTTTTAAATCAATCCCAGAAACAAAATAACTGATCTTATACATCTTAAATCGTATATTTTTAAAAATATCGTTTGTATAGACAACAATAAAAGAAATACTACCAACGAGTAGAAAATATAACTATAAAAGAAGAGTCACTCGCCCAATTACCGCCTAAATTGTTTGATAAATGTTGATAAATTCTATTATTATGATGAGCCTTTCAAAAGTAATACCACCACAACTTGTAATATAGATAACTACTCACCTTGGAGTGAGTATTTCTGCATCTTTTTTACTGATTTTTTCTATCAAAGCTTTAACATTATCGTAAGCCACTGGACATTCGTAAATTTTTTCATCGATTTCTTTGCTAGGACAATTTGAATAAGCTGTAGAAACATGTACCATTGACTGAAACAAAGAAAAACGATTTTGTTTCATTTATTATTGTTATTTGGTTGTTATAGTTTTGTTATACTTTTGTATTAGTATAGATCAGTGGTCGCGATCGACAGGTTGGCGGCCACTGGTATAGATTAACGTCGAACCCAAAAGAACATGCGCAGAACGAAAAGCCAGAAAGGACTTAGCGTGTATCACGTGGTCCGATTCAAACGGGAAAAACGGCACTATGTCCATTGAATATATACCTCTCACTCTTGCACATTGAATTACCTACGTGTCGCCTAATAATTAAACTAGCTGACCGAAGAAATGGGTCACGCACGTATGACCTAATATGGAATAGTTAAATAAAGACCGTAGTGATGAAAGAAATGAAATATAACACGTATGACGTTTGCAGGAATGCGATTGTCTAAATGTAGATGCCTTTTATGGAATGGTGAAATTAAGAGAAGTTACGAAGTAAATAGAAGGCGGTTTTCCTCGCTGACGTAAGAAATGATCAAACGATGACAGATGACAGCTGTCAAAAAAGTTCCCAGTCTCAAGTGCCCTGGACGCGAACTGGCGCAAGGTCACGAGCCCTCGAAGATCACATGATGGGAGATATCCTTCTGTTTATTATTTATTCTTGTAATTATGTCTATTCTTAATATCAGTTTCCATACTCACTTAATATAGTTTTGCAATATATTTTTTGTCTACCATTTTGTCTACCATTTTCTCTATTTTCAAATTTACTAATTTTAAGAATACTAAATAATGGTCAGAATAAAATTATGATGTACGACTTAAGTACTAAGCATTGGGATAACTTTATTTAAAAAATTAAACTTACCTTTAAATTCTTTATCTGTCTAGCTAAATCTATGACATCTTTCGCTCCATTGACGTTAATATTGTAGGCAAGTTTTAAATTTTCATCGAATCTGACTGTAGCAGCAACGTGAAATACAATGTTTACTTTTGAAATTAGTGTCTGTCTATCTGTGATGCTAAGCCCCAAACCGGATACTGAACAATCTCCAGCTATACCCACGACTCTGTGCTTGAATTTGGGATGTTCTTTCTTCAGTCTACCGAATATCTGAAAAATAGAAATGTTTGTTAAAAAGCAAAAACTAATAAATAATAAATAATTGATTCTGAAATTCAAAATGTAATAAACAGAGAAACTAAATACTGGCAAACTGTTATTGAAAGAATTTTTGCGTGATTCAATTATTAGGTGAGCAAAATTTAACTTTTCGTGGAAATTAAATGTGTTTTTACTAGAAGAAGGACATCTTACAAAATAACACGAATTTGGAGATCAGACTGTGTTTTCTACATGTTTTTGGGAGTCGCTGAATTCGAATCCGGGATCTATTTCACTCTATGACGTCAGGTTTTCACTATAACCTCAAAAATCCCAATACTGGAGACTTTTCGGCACTTTTTAACGTATTTAAGCTGTGACTCAAACTTTAAACACAAAGACCAAGCTGCAAACTCAAAATCCTTAACCTTATAACCACATAAAGTCATAACTACATAATGCAAAACCATATAACCTTTAAAAAAACCCTCAGCAACTTCAAAACTGGCAATATTATCCACAGGACCAAATCAGAATATGAAGACTTAAGTTAGGATACCTTCTGACATAAGCAAAACATGTTGCTGTAATGGTGGCCAAATAAACTCAGTATAACAGTAGTTTGTAATATTTATTACAAAAAAGAATAAAAATACCATCAGTTTCTCTATGCCAAACTCAAATATTTTAATTTCGATGAAACCTTACAAAGATTTATCAAATTTTATTTAAGTAACCGTTCCAGAAATCATCTAACTTCACGTTTACAATATCAGGAGTACTCCACAGCTCTCTCCTTGGTCCCCTTTAGTATGTCAGACCTTATAAGATGTAACATTAGAGGTATTAACAAATTAGTTTGTTCACAGAACACCTAAAAGAGCAATTTGCCTTATTTTTGATTGCTATCGTGTATAAAAGTTGGTTTGTGCGCAAGACAGGCTAATTGTGTACATGCGCAGTATTATATAGTAATTATATGACTTAAAAGTAGTTAAAAACTTATTCATAGCTTAATTATATCATGAAGAAGATGTTACAAAATATACAGTCAAAAATCTACTAAAAAATTAATAAATAATATTATTTTTGATATACTTACTACATTATCAAACAATTCATCCATCCTGACATGCATATTTTTTCCTTTTTTTTCCCTAATTAGTAAATATAATGTGTCGGCTTGCGTTGAACGTAACAGTTTTTCTATAAGGATCTTTCCCATGAATCCTGTTCCTCCTGTAATGAAAATATTGGTTTCCTTGTAGAATTGTTGGATCGGTGTTTCTTCCATTTTTCATAGGAAAACTGAAAAATAAATATTATACATGTTTTATAATAAAGATAATGAAAAATAATAAAAGATGTCAAGAGTTAATGAAGAATAATGAAAGATAATGAAAGATAATGAAAGATAATGAAAGATAATGAAAGATAATGAAAGATAATGAAAGATAATGAAAGATAATGAAAGATAATGAAAGATAATGAAAGATAATGAAAGATAATGAAAGATAATGAAAGATAATGAAAGATAATGAAAGATAATGAAAGATAATGAAAGATAATGAAAGATAATGAAAGATAATGAAAGATAATGAAAGATAATGAAAGATAATGAAAGATAATGAAAGATAATGAAAGATAATGAAAGATAATGAAAGATAATGAAAGATAATGAAAGATAATGAAAGATAATGAAAGATAATGAAAGATAATGAAAGATAATGAAAGATAATGAAAGATAATGAAAGATAATGAAAGATAATGAAAGATAATGAAAGATAATGAAAGATAATGAAAGATAATGAAAGATAATGAAAGATAATGAAAGATAATGAAAGATAATGAAAGATAATGAAAGATAATGAAAGATAATGAAAGATAATGAAAGATAATGAAAGATAATGAAAGATAATGAAAGATAATGAAAGATAATGAAAGATAATGAAAGATAATGAAAGATAATGAAAGATAATTAAAGATAATTAAAGATAATGAAAGATAATGAAAGATAATAACAAATAATGGAAGAAAATGAAAGATATTGAAAGATAATGAAAGATAATGACAAATAATGACAAATAATGACAAATAATGACAAATAATGACAAATAATGACAAATAATGACAAATAATGACAAATAATGACAAATAATGACAAATAATGACAAATAATGACAAATAATGACAAATAATGACAAATAATGACAAATAATGACAAATAATGACAAATAATGACAAATAATGACAAATAATGACAAATAATGACCAATAATGACAAATAATGACAAATAATGACAAATAATGACAGATAATGACAAATAATGACAAATAATGACAAATAATGACAGATAATGACAGATAATGACAGATAATGACAAATAATGACAAATAATGACAGATAATGACAAATAATGACAAATAATGACAGATAATGACAGATAATGACAGATAATGACAAATAATGACAAATAATGACAGATAATGACAAATAATGACAAATAATGACAGATATTAAAAGATAATATTTTAATATCTACTATGAAAATATTATAAACAAAATTTTACAAAAATTAATCAAAAATCACATACAGAGCGTAGACTCTTATCATTTGAATTATTACAATAAATCATATCTTAATCGAATAATTAATTACTATAGAATTATTCTGGAGCGTTTTTATTTCAAATCACGTCAGTAATAGCGTAGAATAACCAAGTAGGTGCCTGCCGATAAGTCGTGATGAAATAATTCATCGACTTAAAAATATATTTACGTGACAATTTTTTAATCATAGACCTTGGGCTTACTAAGGTAGATGCCGAAATGTTAATGGATACCAAGGGGATAACTGTCGTGGAATACGTAAAATAGTGAACTCATTTCAATTTATAATAACAATAAATAATATTAAGTATGATAGATTATCTACAGTTTCATATGTGATAGTCAGTGATAACAGACATATAACCATTCATTGATAAAATATAATATTTACAATTCCAAGAATAATTCGACAATCGATACACTTTATTTGTAGGAACGGGGCGAGGAGACGAAAGGTGAGAAGTAAGAGAAGGGATGAAGAGAAGAATTTTACGCAGATACAACTTATTTTGCGTTTATAATAAACAATGTAAATATCTATGTCGGTGTAAGCTCTGTTGCCACTTCCAACCTAACATAACTAGATTTTGGAATTTATTGAAAATTATTATATCTAATTTAGTGAAATTACATCTAATTTAGTTAAAGGACCCCGCACACCGCTTATGGAAAAGTGGCGACCGTTAAATGTCATAAATTTTTGATATGTTGCAGTTTTTGACCTCTTTAGCAATAGTCAAGTGTCCATGAGGCCATTCAAATCCTATGACTGGTTTTTGAGATACAGGGTGTTAAACTTAAGAAATACCATTTATTTGATATGGTGCGCGTTTGTTGGACCATGATAATAATTTACTGGCTTTTTCGAGGATTTCAAATCTCTGTTTGCATATTTAAGAGTATAAAAAATTATGTGTCTTATAAATAACAAGTAATTTAACGTATTAAAATAATTTTATTTGCATACAAATCTACAGCTACTTCATTCTTTTTAACTCTCCATGTATATAAATAAACATTTTAAAATTTTAACGTTTTATATCTATAATAACCCTCTATAGTAATAGGTTTTTCAAATTTATTTTTCTTTTTTTAATCACAAAAATAGGTCAATGCCAAATTTACCAATTTCGCTTATGGTTTGTCACATATTGTTTGTAAATATTATTATATTTTGTTTTTATATTCTTTTCTCTGTTAATAAAAGCAAACCTGAGATTTTAATATCGTACACTATTAACCGTAGATCCGATCATTGCTCTTTTTTAAGCAAATATAATAACATATAAAAAATTTAATTATATTATTTAATGAAAATTCTAGGTAGGTATTGCATTTAAAATATGGTAAGCAACCAACAATACAGAAATGAAAGTTTTAAATCAAGATTTTGAGATTATTATTGTTTTAATTTAATTTTTAGAATAAATTAAATAAAGAATTTTTGTCGAATAAGCTTATTGACGTTTCTAAATTTCTCTAAAAAGAATCATCAGCTTATCCCCTAGATAGTATAACGGGAATATCAGTCGTAGAAAAACTCTTAGAATTTATTTCACAAAAAATTACTACCGAAGTGGAACAGAATTTAAACATTTCGATTTAGAAGATTTTTGTAAACTGCACCATATCCAATTATATATCATATAATAATGCTATCAAAACATTGCAAGAAAATCAAAAAATCTGATGTGTCCAACACATGACTTTCCTATCTAGGTATTACAGGCTTTTTCCGGTTATTTTGTACAACCTATTGCAGCATCTCTATAAATGTTTAGAGGATAAACTAAATATATACATTGTCCACATACATCTACCGCGAAACATTTTTCTATAGATATTCATTGAAAATGAAAATACTGAAAAATTTAAATTTGGCACTTTTCCTACAATTTTTCCATTACGGTCCATTTTAAAAAAATCATGTATAAACAAATATTATAGAGATCGATATCGCAAACAACTTTTATTTCAACAATTTTCATAAAAATCAGAATTTTGCACATTTTGTCAAATTTTTCGAATACGGACCATTTCAGGAAATTTTTACATAAAACAAAAATTACAGATAATAATATTAGAAGTAACTTTTATTTGAACAATTTTTTTCTTCAAACATAAATAACAGATATATTCCATAAAATATAAAAACGGCCTCCCATAAAGTACCCCCCCAGATGTTCCGACTTTGTCCAAAATCTAATCATTTCACGTCAGGCCGAAATAAAACTTAAGTTTAAAATTTAATGTTTTTTCTTTATCCATTTTTGAGTTTTCTTCAAATTTCGAAATTTACACATTTTCTCAAATATCTCGAATACGGTCCATTTAAGAGAAATTATCTATAGGATAAAAATTATAGAGAATTATATTACAAACAACTTTTGTTTGAACAATTTTTATAAAAAAAAATATTTTTTTACATTTTGTAAAATTTCGCGAATACGGACCATTTTAGGAAAATTTTGTATATAACGAAAATTATAGATAATAAAATAAGAAGTAACTTTCATTTGAAGAATTTTCTTCCCCAAACGTAAATAACAGATATATTCCATAAAATATAAAAATGACCACCTATAAAGTACCCCCCCAGATGTTCCGACTCTGCCCAAAATCTAATCAGCTCATTAGATGTTGGAACAAAGCTTAAGTTTGAAATTTGGTGTTTTTCCGTCTATCGGTTCATGAGTTATGCGTTATACAGACACACACACACACACACACACACACACACACACACACACACACACACACACACACACACACACACACACACACACACACACACACACACACACACACACACACACACACACACACACACACACACACACACACACACACACACACACACACACACACACACACACACACACACACACACACACACACACACACACACACACACACACACACACACACACACACACACACACACACACACACACACACACACACACACACACACACACACACACACACACACACACACACACACACACACACACACACACACACACACACACACACACACACACACACACACACACACACACACACACACACACACACACACACACACACACACACACACACACACACACACACACACACACACACACACACACACACACACACACACACACACACACACACACACACACACACACACACACACACACACAGACACACACACACCAGACATCATCGCGAAAATAGTCAAAACGGATTCAGGGGACCTCAAAACGTAAAAATCCGTCGAAAACTCGAGGTCGAAAAAAATCATGATTCCTATACTTTCCTTATATCTGTATACAGATAGGAAAGTAAAAAGTATTATTAGTGAAACAAATCTTCAAATTTCGTTGTACAAAAGGTTTGTTGATCATTATAATAAATCAATTACAATCTTAAGGCTGTATGTCACGATACTAAATTAAGTACTAAATTTAGCACTAAATTAAGTCATTAATTTAGTACTAAATTTAGAACTGAAAATATTTTTTTTCCGTTTGCAACGATACCAATTTTTAGTACTAAATTTACTATGGGCGCACGCGCATTGACGTATTAATACGTGAAATTAGTAGAGAAATGAAATATTCGGTGTAAAACAGACAAGTGAAGTAAATGGTGTTTTTATTATCAATTTGATACTAGTTGACTTGACAACCAAATACAGCATAAAAAC